TACTGAACGATTCTGGTACGTCAATACGAGACGACGATGACAAACTTTTGGAGGATGCCAGCGAAGAGGACATTGGTGGTAATAATAATAATAATAATGATAGTAATAATAATTATAATTATAGTAATAATAATAGTGATAATGATAATAGTAGTGATATTGATGATGATAATAAAACCAACAACAACACACTCCCAGAAGCGCTAAGTTTTCCAGCAAAAAAAATATTTTCTAATATTGATGGTAGAACTTTATCTACCGCTACTGCTACAACCACCACTACTACTACCACTACCACAACTACTACTATTAGTACTGTCACCGATACTAATCTTTCTACTACTACTACTAAAGCTGTTAATAATAATAATAATAATCCCCCATCTACTAACGATACTATTACTGCCGTAAATACCACCTCGATTTGTCTGTCATCTACTACTACTGCTACTACTACTACTAATACTTGCGTCACGATTACTACTACTGCTGCTGCTGCTACTTTTACTACTACAGATAATAATAATGATAATAATAATAATAATAATAATAATGCTACTGCAACATCTATTGCCGCTACTATATTTAATACAGATAGTAGTAATATTACTGACACTGCTATGACAACTGGCGGTGGCTATACTAAAGTCGCTAGTGTCGCTACTACTACTACTACTACGTGCGCGGCAGGTTTACTACAGCGGTCAGCGTCAGCCTCATCTACAAAGTCGCATTTGTTAATTCAACAGTCTACCCTTCAGGTGCCATTATTGTCGTCGTCTGAAGCTCCCAATCGTTCTAAATTATCCAAGAGATCGTTGTCATCGTCGTCGTCGTCGTCTGAACATGCCGCGTTGCAATCTTCACTTAAAAAACAAAAGTTTTGTACTTCTGCTACTACAACATCTGCTGCTGCTGCTATTTTGACTGCTGCTGCCACTGCTACTACTGTTACCACTGCTGCTAATACTGACGCAGTAAAAGTTACTACTGTTATCACTACTACTGCAACGGCTATGGCCACTGTCGGCCCTAGCGTAAATACTGTTTCTAGAGTGGTGAATACTTGCAGCGCCGGTAGTAAACTTATTGGCGTCACTAGACCATCCGTTATAAATACTAATAATAGTAATAATAAAAATAATAATATCGAGTGCATAGATTTGACATGCGGGAATGATGACGACGACGATGACTGTTTCAAAAATGACAATGTTCTAGAGGATGATGACGACGAAGATGACGTCGACCTGTGCAGTGATGATGATGATGACGACGATGATGATGATTATGATGAGGATTTTGACGAAGAAGAGTACGACGATTATGATGACGATGACGGTAGGGTCTACCATAAAAGAGGGGGTGGTAGAGCTGGTACCAATAGGTTGTATGGTAAAGTAAAGAAGGTGGCCGGCGACGGCCACGATGACGACGGTGGCTACGATGGCGGCGACGAGTACGATAGTTTTGGCGCCAATAAGATTGGGAAAAGTAACAACAATAAAAATAACAACAACAATAATAATAATAATAATAATAATAATAATAAAGATGATGACTGCCAAACGAGCGTTGGTAATGTTAATAATAATAAGAAGAAGAATAATAATAATAACGACAATAATAATAATAATAATAATAATAATAATAGCGAGAATTCTCGTAACCAAGATGATAATAATATAAATAGTAATAATGTTTCTGATGATAATGATCACAATAGAGCCGATAACAACAATAATGATGATGATGGTGTTAAAAATATAAATGATGATGATGGTGAGGGTGGTAAGATGTCTCAACCGGTAGTAGACGCCACCGGTGGCGAGAACGGCGACGACATCGACGACAGCAGTGAACGCCGTGACACTAATAACAAAGGTAACATTAATAATAACAATACTAACGATAATAGTAATAATGCTAATAATAATAATAAAGATGATGTCATCGACAACAACCACAACAACAACAACAGCGAAACTAACATCCTGAAAGATGTCGAATCCACAGACGACAATCGTCATCAAAGTAACATTAATAATAATAATAACAACAATAACAACAACGCTCTCAATCACCATGGTGATGGTGACGACGATGATGATAGCGACGCCCAGTTCACCAAAGACCTCAACACGAAATCTCACAAAAACTTCGAGAGACTTGTCAGGAGAAAACAGCAGAAGATCAAAAGGAAGCAAAGGTTACAGGTCAAAAATAGCGCCCCTAACAACCCCAACAACGATGACGTCATAGTAATTGATAGTTACGATGAAAGCGAGGACGATAGCGACGACTGTAGCAGCAGTTCAAGCAGCTACGAGTACGTGAGGAGGCAGCAGAATCAGAAAATTAGAAAACGAGACGACGATGGTGCTCGACTTGGCGGCATTGCCGTTCAACAACACGCACAACAACAGCAGCAACAACAACAATACTACCAGCATCATACGCAGCTGCAACAACAACACCACGAACAACAACACCATTATCATCATCAACAACAGCAGCAACAACATCAGCAGCAGCAGCAACAACTAAATCAACAACAACAACAGCAAGGTCTGTTTGTTGAACTTCAGAACGGCATCATCACGTCCAACTCCAGCAGTGAGACCAGTCTATCACTGACGAGTAGTAATGAAGAGTGCGACAACAACACGATGGATGTTGACAGCAATGTTGCAGCAGCAACAGCCGACAACGACTGCAACATCACCAAAAAAACTGACAACGCTTGCAACAACAGTAGTGCCAGTAGCAAGAAATCAACTGTCTTTCGTGAGGCTGTCGATAACTATTTTGATAGCTGCATTAACTCTGCTATTCATTACAACCACGTCAACAACAACGACAACAACAACATCGATAACAATGATCAAGACGATGTTGTTGTTGTGAATAACATTCAACATCATCTTGACGCCAGCAAAAGACTCAACGTCATCAGCAGCGTGAGCAATGTTAACTCCGATAGTTTCATCCTCGCTTCCGGTTGTGACGTTGACGATGACGTCACTAGCAATCCTATAAACATCTCATCGAGCAACAACAACATCAACGATGACGTAAACAATGACGATGATAACAATGGGGGTAATAGCGGGGCGGTTGATTTAGCGTTAACCACGGACTCTCAGATATTTACTTGACATTATTTTACAGATTTTTTATAATTTATTAATATTTTTATTATTAATAAATGAATTAATATTTTATTTTTTTAATAATTTATTCCTATATGCGTGTATGTGGTGTGTAGAATTAAACTTCAAACATAAAAGTGTATGTGCGTATTTGTATGTCTATGTATATTTTTCAAACTTTATTTTAATAAGTTATATATACATATATATTTATATATATTTAATTTGGTATGAGGTTCTCAG